CGGGCAGAATGGGGGTTTGGGGTGGGTTTGGGGGCGGTTCGGGGTGGGTTTGGGGTGTTTTCCCTTATTTTCCTCCTGAGGCGGTCGCTGCTGTGGTACGCGGCAGCAGCAGGATGGTGCCGAGGTACCGACAGACCCAACACCTGCAGCCAGGGGGTTTTCAGCCGTGTTTAATATGGCAATTCTGCGGCGCCAAGGCCGAGCGATGGCCGGAGGAGCCCGCAGGCTCGGTGCTGGCTGCTGGCGCGGGTTTATCCCGCTCAGCTCCGCGCTTTACACCACGGAGCAGGTTGGAGAGGGCTTGCTGGTGTGAGTCAGGCTCCCGGAAGGATTTCCTTGGTTGTACTGTTGCTTCCTTGAGTTTTCCCCCTCTTTCTTTCTGGATTTTACCGTACACATTGCCGCGGTGTTCTGGAGTGGGTTGTGCCGGGAAGGGGTGGTCTTAGGACAGTGAAACTTCTCTCGGATTCTGTAACCGACTTTTGTTATTGCAACAAATCCATCTGCGGTTGGTACAATCCTGTTTGCAGCGGTGTACACGCACTGAACGGCCAGCAAGGCACCTGCGGAAACCAAGCTCAGAATGAAGAATTTACTGTGTGGTAGAACTGGGCTTAAAATGTGCCACTTGCCTCAAATGGTCCCTTGTCACCAGACAGTTTGAACTCAGTAAAACTGGGTGACATGAAGAGCAAGGAGGAGAGGGGAGGAAAATAAGGCACGCTGCTTGTTTCTCCTTAGCGTGTTACAGATGATTTGTGTGATAGAAGCTTACAGAAACCTTTCTTGCTTTGCCTGTAAACCCACTGCTGACATTTGAACCCAGAATATTTTTTTCCCTACTGCGTGCTGGGATATTCCAGCTGTCGGCTTGCAATTGCAGCTTCCAGTCACAGTGCTAGTGCGCTGCCCCTGCGTTCGGTGTTCTAGCCTCTCTTCTGAAACTTTCCCAAACTGTTGCTGTATGGTATGTTTCCCTTCTTACAACATGAAGGATGCTACAAGCCTGTTTGATACAGGAAGGAGCACAGAGTTTCTCGTAGTTGCTAGCATGTCACAATTACTCACCGCTTGCAACATCCCAGACTGTAATGGACTGATCCAGCGATCCAGTGTACAAGTACTTATCGTCCTTTGAGAAGCAAGCACAGCAAATGCCTTTCAGGAGAGACGTGGGCTGAAAATGGATGGTTAGGATTAGATTGTTGTGCTGGTAAATACAGGTTGAGGTGAAGATGCCTTAGAGTATACAGTGGTTATTCAGTGCTTAAGAACAGAGGTAATAAAGACAGATTTGTGCTTAAGAATAGAGGTAATAAAGACAGATTTTTTCCATCCTGGAAGGAGGATGGGAGGTATCACAAAATAAAGCCCCTGGCTTGTGAAGCACTCTGGCTGTGCGGCAAAGAGCCTAGTGTGACCGCACTAAAGCCCGTTATTCCGCCTATGGAAAGGAGCAGCTTAGACGTGTCTGTGGGGTATTGTCAGGTGAAAGGGTAACAGCGTTGATCCAACCTCCTCCATCACTTTTTTTTCCACTTACTTGATGCTCCTGAGCTGCCCCACTTTACCCAATTTTCTGTTGCTCTTGGCAACTTGTGAAGTCTCATTCTCTTCACTGGTTTGTGTCGTCTGGCTTACACCGGGTAAATGAGCAGTAATAAGCTGTAGATAAATAAGTCCTGTGACTTATGTTTAGTGTCAGAGTGGTGTTAACAGTACTCACTCACTTAGGCAGCATTGACACCTCGGTAGTGTATCTAGGTGTAAGGATGCTTTAAAATGAGACCTAGGTGCTGAGAATAGTTTGAACAGCTACGTGCGGGATTTGGGTGTTCTCTTTGAGAGCTGGGCATTCTGTCAGTCAGATCCTCCCCGACACCTCAGGGCAGTAGTCGACTCTTGACACTGTCTTACCACTGTAGTACCTTATAATAGCACATCTCGTGTTCCTGTTCCAAACAGGAGATCTGGCTTTGGTGACCTTCCAAAGGAAACGCTTGGGCCCAAGGACAGTCATAAAGGAACAGGTCCCCGCTAGTCGTGCCATAGACGTAATCTGCAAGGACAGCCACTCTGGAAATCAGAGAGCCAGGGATCTGAGTTTTAAAGGTGTAGGTGGGCCTGTTGATCACTGGGCATGGATCTGCGGGGATAATATCCAGCACAAGGACTAACTCATCGTATGCTATGGCAAGCTGCTTTTCCTGCTTGTTGATTGCCATGTTGTTGACTGCTTTCCGTGACTCTGGAGGTGGGATGCATGCTACGTCCTGCCTGGAGTTCAGAGGAAAGACAAGCACTGTTCCAGATGCAAGCCCAGTGAAAAGGAGCTGGTTTTGCTCAGCTATTTCCAGGCATCTCACTCGGGCAGAGGTGTCCAGTGTGTTGCACACTTCACCTGTAAAAAGAAGGAAATCGGCAAGACTGTTCTTACTCCAGCTGCAGGTGAATGTCTTCCCTCAGATGGGGGCCACAATTGGCTACTTTATTTGTGAAATAATTTACATATTACTCATATTTCCAGTTTTCCTATATCATAATAATAAGCTATTCTGTACAAAAACTTTGGAGAGGAGATTAAAAAGCTCTCCAAGCCTGAAACAAATTTTCCTGAATCTCATGCTTAGAAAAACCAGAAAGGAGCAGACTGTGCTTGTCATATGCTCACAAAACTAACCCTACCTTTGCTGCCTCTGTGAGTTGTTTTGTTTCTGTCCTACCCCACATGCATGCTTAATTTAATGCAGTGTTTCTGTGATGCAGTTCACCTTCTGTGGCGTTCCAGATGACGACTTTATGTGTGTCTTCAGGCTGGGTGAAATAAACATAGTTCCCTCCGTGGGACAGTGCGGCGCAGGCTGCCTTGGGGACAGATGCCAATGTTTTCTGCTGATGATCACAGATGAGGTTCTACACTCTCAGATACGGTGCGCTGTGGGAGGCAGAAACCAAAGTGCAGTCGCACAGGGCTAAGAGTGTGACTGGTGCTCCCATGGCATCCAGTGTGTCGGACAGATACCCCTGCTCTGATAAACTCCACACCTGGGAAAAGTCAGGGGGAGAAGTCAGTGCCTGAACTAATTTTTCCTTAGTCCTGTTTAAGAGGTAGAACAATATACCTTAACTGACTTGTACAGAAACATAAGTAGTCAAAGAATAACATCCTGTTACTAGAAGGCAAAGCATTGCCTTCTGACTCTAAAACAAATGTTTGAAGCACCTGGAGCCATCCAGCCCACTTGCTTCCTTTGCTCTGAAGGATGCTTAATTAGGTCCTGCACGTTTTGGACTGTACTGGCTGTTTAGCTCTTTCTTTGGCAAGAGATGTTGCGTATTCCGTCTGGCTCCTGCTCACAGACGGGTAGCAAGGCAGCTTTTAGGAGTTCAAATTTAAAGCATTTCAGAAATGAAATTGTATTTCAGGCCTCAGGCATACACTGGCTTGAGGCTGGCCCTCTGAACTGATGAAGTGCTCTCCACTGAGTGTCAAAAATAAAAGGAGAACAGGAAGGCTTGAAGCAATAAAGAGAAGGGTCAACAGTTGTCATCTTTTTAGAAGGGTGGCAGTACTAGAAACATCTTCAGAACAGCAAATCCAACCCCCAGACTGGTTGCTGGGGATCAAGACGACCGCTTTACTGGATCAGGGTGTATTCTGTAAGCTGGATTTGTAAGAGATGCTTCTGCTTGGGAAGTTGCCCAGCCTGCCTTCCTTCCTTCCTACCTGGATAGATGCAGCCTGAGAACCAGTAACAATAATGCAGAGATAACAGCCGTATGAACCACTCCTTCGTGTTCCAGATCTGCCGCTGGGAACCTGTGGAATCCCTTTGAGTCTGCCAGGTACACTTGCACATACTCCTCAAAGCCTAAAACAATAAAATGTTAGTTACTGATTTATCAAGCTGAGGAAGTCTCTAATCCCCTTCAACACCATGTCCTTACACACGTGATTTAATTCCTTATTTCTTTAAAGGTAAGCCCAAAGGGTAGCTTAGAAACCGTAAAAAATAACAATGTCAGCTTAAGTCCTTTTCCCTGGTTAGATCTCACTCCCTTGAGAAAGGGCTCCTGGTACACAGGCAACGTTCTGCTTCTTTACAAAGAGAATTTCACCCAGTCTTTGTTACCCCCTTAAGGACAATAGTTGAGTAAGGCCAGGCTAATGGGGAATTCCACCTGGTGGCCCCTTTTAAAGGACGCTTGGCATGGGAGAGCAGCTGTTACCAAGACTGTCCTAAGGAATGGATGCTATTGAACCTGATCTTCTGACACCACCACAAAGCAAACCCTTCCAGGAAGCTTCTCTAGCAGACTGTTTCCATCAGAAGAGATCTGCACAAAAATAAGGCAAGAGTGAGACATGAAGCTAGGATAGCTGAGCTGCCTCTTTCATGAAGGAAAGAGGATAAATTATCAGCGAAATTTGATTTGGCTGCATAGTATTGGGCAAAGCTGTAAAGTGTGGCAGGATAGAAAGTGGTATGCTTGTCCATTTGGGAGCTAGGATATGGAAGTCGGAGGAGGATGCTCTATTCAGAATGGAGAAGGAAGGTTCTTTTGTTACCAGAACTGTTGTCTGGCTCAGTAAACCTCTGGATAATGTAAGAAAATACAAGAGATATTTTAAGAAGATTTCACAGATAGATGTGTACCATGCATAGAGATCCCTCGCTAAATCCCACTATCATCTTCCCTTGCTTCTGGATCGGAACATTGGACGTTGGTGTTTCTTCCTGTAGCCCTGAGAGCTGATATTTGGATCTCAGCTCACCGGTGTTGCTGTTCCACAGACTCAGCGTTCCTCCTTCAGACACAGTCATAATCACCAGCCTTGGACTGAATACCTCGGAACACATGCACGCATCTGATGCCTCTCCAGAAATCTGGAAGATGAGTTCTGCTGTCTCCAGATGCCAAGCATTGACCTAGTAAAGAGGTGGCAAAAGAGACAGGACTAGCGAGGACTGAGGTAGCTTTTTCATCTACAACCTTTGTGATTGTGGCTGTAACTTCTAAAGTTGTTCTTTCAGCATGCCTTACGTTAAAGACTGTCCATACCTTTGTATCTGAGGAAGAATATACAATCATGTGCCCCTCATCCACGTGAAGGTGATGTGAGGGCTGTTCTTTGATATGTGTATCCTGGATGATAAACCTTGCTCTCCCAGAGATCAAATTCCAGATGCGCAGACTGTGATCCATAGCAGCTGAGACAGCACAGGTTCCTTTTCCAAACACTTTCACACACCTCACCTCGGCTATAAGATAAGACAAGAGTTCACAAATTGAGGGATTCTCAGTGCTTTCAGCAGCTGAGAGAATGCTGGCAGCTGGGAGGTGTCTGTGTGCCTACAGCTCCAGGATTGCCAAGCTGTCAGAGCTTTTTTCAGACATGAAAAGACCTTTCCAACCATAAAAAGTGTAGAAGGCTCACCGAAGTGCCCAGGAAGGGCATGCAGCATCTCAAAAACTTCCGTATTCCAGACAAGCATTGAGCCATCCTGGGAACCTGCCACCAGCAGCCGGTAATCAGAACTAAGTGCCATCACTGTGACACCTGCCATGAGACATGAAGAGGGAAGGCTGTTCATGATACCACAGACAGAAAAAAGACATTTTGAGGTTGTTAATATGCTGTGTTTCTCCAGCTGGAAGCCCCTGTGCTCTCTGAAGCCCGTAGCCTGTGCCAAGAGCAAGATTAGGTTCCCTCAGACATATCTAGGTCAGTGTGTGCTTCTGTTGTCCTGACGACAAAATGACCCACTTTATCCTCATTTGTTGAAGCAGTTGTGAATGGGACTGGTGCATGACTGAGCACAAAGGCAAGTGGACCTTTGTCCTGCCTTTGTGTGAGCTCACAGGCAAAACTCGGTTTCTACAGAAATAGATGTTCTCTCCTTCCTGCTCTGTTTATTTATTACGTTTCTTGGATCTCATTTATACCAGATGGATGATTAGATATATTCGTGGGCTGTATCTGTCCCCAGGACTAACCCTACCTTTGAGGAATCCGGTGAGTGTTGTGTGTAGGGGCGCAGCAGGCGGCTGGAGAAATCCGCACAGTGGGATGAGAACAGGATGGGGACAGGCCCTGCACCAGCTTAGACGCTGCTGGCACAGCTTCCCGATGACCTCCGGGTAAGAAGGCATGAAATGAAGAAGCCTGGCCAGCACTTCTGTGTATATTACACTCCCTCCTAAGAGGGCAGAGACAAAAAAACGTTTTAGATCATGACTGTGGTGGGCCTCTGAGAGCTGCCATAGTTATATTTTATGTGATGTACAATATGTGATGAACTGAGCTGGCCTTTGCTGGCCAGGCACTTGGATAATGTAAGGAAGGCTACAGTGTAAAACACAGGCAAATGTGACGGTGTAGCAGGACTTTTCCTCTGGGGGAGGAGTGGTTATGCTGAGGAGGAGACGGAGGAGCAGCGCTGTGTACCCTCACCTCTAGTTAGCTTTAAAGCTGTGAGGGAATCTGGAGAGCTACCAGGTGCTTCTGCTAGACGTGGGGCAATGGACACTTTGGTTGTGATAAACTGCTCGAATCAGAGACAAAATGTCTGTTGCCAGAGGAGAAACCTCAGCTTCCCATACAGAAATCTTGATGGATTCCAGGACAGAGAACTTTGTCACTGGTTGTAATTCCCAGAAAAGTACTTTTACTTGGAAAGGAAAATTCCTATTCTTTCCTCTGGTAAACATTTGCGTCACGCTCTGTCACTCTGACATAGCTGTTACCTTCAGGGCTGCGTATGCTGCTGACTGCAGGCTTCAAGAGGAGGAGTGTGTCCTGCACAAGGCGTAGTTCTGGACAGCTGATGCATTCAGTATGCATGGCAAAGTCATCAACAACGCTCTCTATTCCACAGGCAATTATTTTACAGCTGATCCAGTTCATATTCCCTGCATAAAATAAATGCTATTACAGCAGAGAACATCAGCCCTGCGAATGCATAGTTATTCTGAAAAGACTGAGATAAAAAAATGCTTTTTGGGGGAAGGAGGGGACAGAAGGATTAACAGTCACTAGCAGTGGAACCAGGGCTCATTTGCTGAGGAAGTGGAGGGCTCCCATTGTCACAGTTCCTTCTGTAGCCTCTTAAATGCTCTATGTATTTTCTTTTCAAATTTGTTAGGTTTTAAAATATATTTTCTTCTCAGCGTTTGGAGGATCTAGATCATTTCTTTCAGCTACTAAAGCAGTGTGGTGATAATTCTAGAATAACAGTTCATAAAAGTTAGCTTATTTCTCTTTCTCGAGCTTCCTTCTCACAGTGGTTACTGATGCTGTGCAGAAAGGCTGTGATTCTTATCTGTGGCTGTAGGCTTGAAGCATGCCTCTGCAGAGCACTGTTTACCCCCTTTTGCCCAGTCCTTACCCAGCACATCCCGTTTTAGGTCCTCAATTTGTCCAGCATTAAGTAAATGAAATGGCAGTTCGCTCAACTTCCTCAGATTTGCGACAGTATCAGAGAACCAGAGTGGCTGCGGGGCTACCTAGGAGTAACCAAACAGTGGATTGAGACGTGGCTTGTGGATTGATCTGTTTCCTTTCACAACTTCAGCACTAGCTGCTGTCTCATGGTGTGCCAGACAGCACTTCCAGGGCTTTCATTGTTTTCCTGTTAGTAGGAAATGTTTTTCATGACTCTACATTTCTCTTGCTACAGTCTAAGGCAGATGTGAATAATAAATTCCTTCCTTCCTTGTTGCAGTAGCCTTTTATGTATATGAAGACTGCATGACAAAGTTTGTAAAATGACTTTAAATCTCCTTGGTTAGAGATACTTCTTTTAAAAATATGTATCTTTGTCATTGTTGAAGTGTTGAAATCATTAATGAAAGCACTAAACAGTGTTATTTACTATTATTTCCATTGTCTCCTGATTTCAGACCCTGTCCAGCAGTCTGGACACACAGAGCCCTGGTCCAGAGCTTACAGGTATGGAAATGCCTGCCGATATTCCTCACCTTCCTGTCGGCATTCAAGGTCCTGCTAAAGTGTCGCAGCGTAAGAGGTTTCTTCATTCCCCAGCTCCAAGTCCCCTTGAAGAAATCTGCCAGGAGCAAATGCCTCTTGATTTGGTCTTGTTTTGATAGATAACAATTCTGCACCATTTCAACAAATTGCCTGGGAAGAGAAAAAGTAATAGATGTCCTGGAAGAGGGAGCTAGTGCTGGGTTTTTGCTAGAGTCTGAGCACTGACAGAGCTTAAGAACGGAGAGGAGCCTTGGCAGGGTGCCTGAAAGCCCAGGATGGGAACATCCTATGCTCAGAGGCTTGGCTTCTCACTCTCTGCCCTGTGAGAGTACCTGTGTGCAAAGCAAAGCAGAGTGAAGCCATCTGCCTTCCGTTCTGCCAGGCACGCTCCCATGTCACTGCGTAACCATGCCCAGTGGAGGGGAGGAAGGCGCAGGATAGTTTTACTTGGAGGAAGGTGGCAGTGGTGAATCTTAGAGAGAACTTCATCGTGAAGGGATAAAATGTCCTTCAGCTCCGTGTCTGACAGCCCATTTCTGCAAGTGAAGTGTGACAGATGAAATCATTTATCCTCCTCCTTACTGTTTACACTGATACCTGTAGTGGGAGGGTGAGTGGTTTTTCTGGCAGTTCAAAAGTACTAGTCACCAAAAATCTCATCAGCTCACATGCACACATGGCAGTCTCAGCGGAGAGCTTAGACCCTGGATAAGCCATGGAGATAATTTCCTTTTCCAAGTAATCCCAGAACATCTCCCTTCAAGACAAGAGTTTAGACAGGCTGCCAGGTATGAGAGAAATGTTCTGCTTGCTATATGTATGTATGAACACATTCACAGGCTCAAAGCACTGAGAGCTTTGACTGGTTTTGGCTGTATTTAGACAGATGTCCTATGAACAGTGGGAAATATGGGCTGTTCCATCAGGGATACAGCAGTACTCACCGTGAGGAAGCGATGTAGCCAAGCACATGAGCCACAAGGACTTTGCTGTGTGACTTTTCCAGTCTCTCACACAGACGATGCATGGCGTCCTGGGCTGTGCTAGCAATCACTAATTCTGAAGGTGAAGTGTAAGATGCCCATTTTCTGGCCTCATGGAAGGCCAGCTTGAAGAGCAGGGCTTGCCCACCACCAGGGAAGCTCTGACGGACATAGGCCTGTTGAGCTGGGCTTAGCCGTCATCTGTCTGATGCTAAGAGCGTCTCTAGCATCTCCTCACCTTCCTCACTGGACAAGGGTCCCACTTCAAAGTACGCTTCAGCCTCAGGCACAGCATATTGGAGAGCTTTCAGAGTATCAGGGTCTGCTGTGGAAATGGAAATGATGATGTGGACCTTTGGAGGGCAATCTGTAGGGAGCCAGTGGAATCGGTGAGCACCATCACCAGGAATTAATTTCTTCACAGAGTCAAGGAACACCAGCAGTGTGTGTGTGCCACAACGGGAGACAGTGAGGAGGAGTTTACTGAGGAACAAGACTAAGTCAGTGCAAGCCTGCTTGGTCTGGGTTGGAGGTGGTGGCAAATCAAATGCTAAACACACTTGGAGACAGATGTCCCTCAGCAGGCTGTGAATGGCAGAACTGAGCTGGGATGTCCCCAGCAAACGAAGCATGACTACACTGTCCTGCCCTAGAACAGCTTGCACCCGCTCAGATAGTTTGCACATCACAGATGTTTTTCCACAGCCTGGTGGCCCATAGAGGATGAGGGTTGTGTGGGTTTTATCATTGTTCTGCCTAATACAATCAAAAAGGTTATCCAATAAATTCTGTCTCCCACAGAAAAATCTGCAGTTCTTCAGACACAGAGCGGTGTGGTGGCCCAGCTCCTGCAGAAGTTGCCCTGGCTCCTCGCCGACCTGTCCTTGATATTGAAGATTCTCTGAAACCTGGTGATTAGTGACAGCAGTGAACTGCTCACAAAGTTGTTTCAGGTATTTATGATTCTCCTTGCCCTGAGGGTTCCCAGAGTCTTTACTGTATGCCAACGTGTGTACTTTGAGGTGTTTGGGATAATGGCTTGCAATTTTTGCTTTAAGGTTGCTGAGCAGCTGTTTCGCTTCACTGTCCAGACTCCTCTTTTTCTAACAGCTCACTGTTTGTCGCTTGCCCAATTTGTTTGAAAGAATCCTCAACTTCTCTGAGGAATATGAAAGCTGCCGGGCTGCTCTCCTGGGTATTGAGGAGGCCCTGTTCAATCTCCCATTCAATCGCTACAAAGGAAAAAAAAAATTAGAGGGAGATGTGAGCATTCAGTTTCAGAACAGAACACAGGCAAAGCCATCCAGCAACATGCATGTGACATCCCCTGGTCCTTATGTGTTTCACGTGATGCGAGCAGGTCAGCATTCCCCATGCCTTCTGAGCTAGGCATACTCCTGGATGTGGTCAGGGAGATTGGGGGGGAAAAGGAGAAAAGTTTCCGTCTCGGGTATTACTGTTTGCTAGTCAGCAGCAACCTCCCTCCTCAGGGTTCGGGATATGGCAGATAGTTAGCAAGTCTTTTCCTTCCCAGCGTCTTTTCTGTTGTATACGATCGGACGTTGTCTTGAAACAAAGGTTAGAAGGACATCAGGGCCCTGTCGGAACACATCTGATTTGTGGTAGCAGTGCCTCTGCTCTGGGCTGAGCAGCCCGCGCCTCTCTGCCTTCTGGGCTGCCAGGCGCAGCGCCGGGGCCAGGCGTCTCTCCAGGCGCTGCCAGGCCTGCCCGTCAGCCGGCTGCAGCACGTAGCCGGTGGGCAGCGCGTTCTCATCCTGCCGGTACCGCTCCGTCCGGAGCTGCGCGGAGTCCCCTGACAGCTGCAGAGCTAGGGCCTCAAATTCCTCCTCCTCAATGAGCCGGGGCACGGTCTGGTGCCCGTAGTGGTCTCCCAGGAGGCCCTGCAACAGGCAAAAAAGGTCTGGCATTCAGGCGCTGCATCTGCAGCAACAGCTGGGCTGTGGGCTGGCTGCTTGCCCCAGCGCCTAGGATTGCCAGGGAGGGCTGCCCGGGAACCCTGCTGGTACCCACAGCGCCTTTGTGGCTTCCGTGTTGGATGGGGACAGCCAAGCAGAGTCCCAGCCTGCCCCATGGTCGGGGAGAAGTGGCTTTACAGCAGCTGCTCCTCAGGCCTTGACGGTGTGTCTGGGGGGAGCGGAGAATGATGGAGGCGAGGTGGTGGAAGCACAGAGCAGAATGGGTTTGGGGACTTTGGCCAGTGGTGCCGTAAGCTTGGCTCTGGGGTGGAGAAGAACTAAGGGAACAGGACTGAGCCTGGGGACTTCTTTTTAGGACTAAAGGCTGGGCTGGGAAAGAGAGGGATCCTGAAAAGGGTCAGCGTCCAGTATCCATACAGCCTGGAAACAGCCAGGATGAGCTCAGACCGCAAACCCACAGTGTAATCCTTGAGCAGTGCCCTTCTGGTGTGTGTAAAGGGAACAGGGAGCAGTCAAACCTTTGTGGCTGGCTCTGCTGAGATTTCTAGGTACGCACTGAGAACCGGTCTGAGGAAGACACTGCCTGGGTGCCTACTGGTGCCATCTGCATTTGTGGGATGGTGCTGCTGGCAGAGGCGTGAGCTGCAGGGAGCTCAGCGGCGGTGAGCTCGTGGGTGCAGTAACGCCGTGGTGAGGCTCTCATGGTCTCTGCCTCTTGTTGCTGGCCTCTGGTGGAAGTGTCTCAGGGGAAATCAGGCACAGCTTGCACAAATACTTAATTGCTTATTTATTTACCTGTGGCTTCAGTTGTGCCCCCTGGGACTGTATATTTATTCTCTTTGTTCAGCAAAACTTTCTCCCTTTCTAAAACCAAAACAACCTGAGGAAGCAACCTGGCACTTCTGCAGGTGTCTCAGCCTCTTCCCCCCTTCTGCAACGCTTAAAGTTCTGCGCGTGGGTTTCTGTTCAGGGCTGTCACCAAAGTGCTTCAAGGCAGCTGAGGTGGGCTGCTGCCGTGGGGAGCTTTCGGTGGTTGGAAGGGGTGATTGGAGGAATTAGAGCAGGGCAGAAGCATGGAACAGGTATCAGCTTGCAGAGTGACACCCATTCTGCCCCTGGCGGGTGCTATGGCATTTTCATTTCTGGTTCTTTGCATGGGGAATTTGTTTTTATTAGTTACTGAGAAAATCTCCTCAATATTGAGTTACTGGGCAGGAAGCAAGCTTGGAGCAAAAGCTTCTTTTCCTTATGTGTTTCTCCATCTGCCTCTTCTATCTGCTCGTTAATACACACAACCCCTGTTATCGTCTGCTCTGAAGAGACTCCGCGTTCAGGGCTGGGCTATGTGTGTGCGCCTGTCAGGGCTTCTTTTGTCTTTGAGGGACTACTGGCAGTTATTGACATCCCAGCCCCACCAGCTAGCTGATTTGTGAAGCTGCTCGGGCAGGCTAATTACTTTTGGAAACCACCTTCCTTGTCCAGTAGACCTGAGTGCGTGTGGCCTGCCCTGTATGTCCCACTTCAGCCATAGGGATGGAGTGTGCACCACTTACGATGAAGGTGGGACCAGCTGACAGCTTCTGACAGGCTGCAGTTTCCTCCAGAGAGAGTTCTGTGTTTCTGTGGTCAGGGTCTGCAAGCTCAGAAATGCCCCATCTCAGGTCAATTACCTGCACAAAAAATTTTTTTTTAAGATTCTTAGACTAGTCAATGCTATCATAAAAACAGTGACATGGGAAAATAAAGTCATTCTATCACGTTTAATTTTTACATCAGTATGAACACTAGTGGTATGCAACTGTAATTACTGGAACTCTACAAAAGACACTGAGATACTCAAAATTTCTCAGTAGGGATTTCTCCTGTGAAAGACTTACGGATTTGGACCATGGATGACCGAGTAAGCAACTTAAGTCTTTCAGGACAAGGAGCCTCATGACTGTAGGTTATTTGCTGCAACACTTCCAGCCTATCTTCTATCATAGAAGATAAGGATCCCCCACATTTCAGTAACCCCTTTTATGCTAGAAGCTCAGTGCAAATTAGTATAGTGTGGACTAGTTCAACTACCCCTGAAGTATATCCAGTGGAATTTATGCATGGAACTTTTTTCCAGTTGATTATAGAAACAAAAGGATGATGTAGACCCTCGTGTCCAGGTGCTTGCAGATGATTAGCCACCACTGAAGTCCATACAACTCAAGCATACAAATACACTTTATCCAAAAGTTCAAGGACATTGGTACAGCAGTATTTGACTCTTAGGAGGCTTCTAGGGAGATGGAAAACATGTGAGCATTTTGGGTTTTTTTACCTCCATCCCACATATTTTGATGGCCTTTGGACAGGATAGAGAGAAGTGATTTACCTCAAACATTAGGCCGTGCTTCTGACAGAAGGCCAGCGCTTCGGGGTATGCTTTCTCCAGGAGGGTGTCTCTTTCTGTAGCCATGTCTGTGCGGAAGGACGTGGGCAGCACACCAGAAGTTAGGAATCGGGAGCCAGGATTTTACTTTGCTTATGTGTCATGTTAGACCTTACAGCAAAAACACATTTTGTGCTGCTATCACCTAATCTGTGTTGAGTTTCACATAGATGACGTTGTGGTTAAGTCTTGTAAAACTGTGGTTTCCAGATGTCTGCAGGCTTGTGCCCACGTTGTGACATTACTGCGAGTGCATTTTCAAGGTTCCATACTGGCTTGTCACACTGTGATTTTATTTGCTAGTATGAAGAAGACTCTGGATCTGGAAATTTTGGATTTCCTAGTTCTAGAATACGATACAGCAGCATTGATCCAGAAAAATATATTTCTCACATCTTGCTGTGGCAAATCCTCCATCCTATTTTAAGACCACTCAGGCACACTGTTGGCCGTCTCAGCAGTGATAAACAGCCACAATAAAAGGCAATCCTACCCACAGGGAATCTTTTCATACACTCAGGTCTGTGAAATTTTTATGGCCGCTTCCCCTGCTGTGCTTTTTACAAGAGAGATTACCTCTTTCTAGAAAAATCTTTGTGACACCTTTGAAGTGATGTACTCACTGAATTAAATCAAAAACAAACTAGGTGAATTTCAGGTAAATTAAGATGACAAAGCAAACAGGAAGAAAAGTAAGCACATATATGCACACAAGCACAAGCATGAGAGCTCACTCCCCGTGCCCACATGTGTGGGGGGATGGCAAGGCTCGACCGAATTGCTTGTTGTAGAAAATCCATTTTAAGCTTAGCACACGGTGTCCTTGACAGAACAAGGAATTTAACAAATCAACTCTGGGGTTAGCAAGAATGTGAAAAACAGGTTGCAGCTGGAGAAGAATGAGGGAGTATGGGCGGAGTTGACATTTAGCTGGCTAGCCAATAATGAGCTCTAACTTTGCAATATGTAGTAGCTAATTAATCACTCTATAAATTGTGTAACCAAACTGTAATAAACGAAGCTTGCTTATCACTCA